GCCACGGAGTGTCCGTGAAGTACTCCGCGGCTTTCTTAATTCTGACGATATCGGCTCATCTTCCACTTACAATTGGATGTGCCCTTCACCGTGCGTGCAGCAATGTACCTACTTCGCGCGTCGCCTGCTGATTCGCAGCATTTTATTGGAGACTTTCGTGCGTGACAACATGTACGAGTTGACAGTGAAGGATAATCTATGTCGTCTTAGGACGCGTTTATATCAGCAAGCTGGAGTCGGAGATACCTGAGCTGTACTGGCCGATGAGGGCAATCGTCAAATAGGGGCATGAGTTGCTTGGAGGTCTGCAAAGGGTACTTGCTCTCTTTTGCTTCACACTAATTGGGGAACTGATTAATATGAGAGCTAGAAACTGAGGAATATGCACCAAAAGGTCTGCAAAATGAACTGTATACAAATCGACCGATTGGCATTTCTTCCAAAGTCAACCACAAATAGACGAAGGCAAAGAGAAGAATGGCCTGAGATGTCACAAAATTCGTTCAGATGACACAACATTTATTGCTATACTATTCATTACATCTCACAATATTTATGTAAGACAGAAATTCCCTCTAGAGGGAAAGTTTGCCCCCGTTTGGCAGCAACTTCACGGCTATTCATTGGAACGGGCACTCCCGCGAACGGATAGCTTATTCAGAAGCCACGAAGATAGCGACATATTTACGACACAAAACGATCAGTAACGGCGAACAGGGACTTGTAAACGTGCACACTTCACGCGTCCACACAGCTGTGAATGAGTTGGTGCCTGCGTCTCGCCAGTCCCATACACTCTCTCGTCTCCGAGTCACGGCTGTGAATGTGGTGGAGCGTAGCTATTTTGGAAATGTCATACCTCGTGAAGATATTATGCTATCTCCATTTCCTTGAGTATAAACCCGCTCCACCTAAAAATGCACCGGCACAGACAGCCAGTGAGCACCTACTACTGTCAACGTCGAAAATGAGTGGGGGCTTAGGATGCCATTATAACATGTCCTCTTCTTATTAGGCCCACGGCTTTCCTTCCATTTCACTGCTTTTGAAAAATACCTAAGTCAACAAATTCCATAGAGAATATTCCATTTGAGGAGTACGCAATGAAGACAGAGATGTGTGAAGGAGATAAACGTATGCTACGTCTCAAAATTGAAGTTCGTGTTCTTGGCCTTTGTACGCAAGTGGAGAATCCCGAAAAGAAGAAACACTTTCCTCGAATTGATTGATCGTGGAAAGACGGAAAAGTTCAAGGTAAGCTGGTAATGCTTGGCTGCTTCACAGGGAAGAATTAACTGGCCGGTTCAACCATTTAAAGTGAGTGTATACCTGCAAACGATTCCCTGAAAGAAATTATGAAGCAGGAAAGCGCAGTGATAGTGACCCTTATCCGCAGGCAAGCGACCGTAGGAACGATTCTAATGCTAGTCGGTAGTTTTGCTCCTTTCGGAAATATGTTGAAGTTCTTCTAGCTCCCCTCCTTTCAAAAAGCGAGAAAGTGTAGGGTGCAGACCATGCACCACAAGTGACGACCCGGCTACAAATAATATGTTTTCTGCTAAATGAAACTGGTAGTCTGTTACAAGATGTATTCTAAGCGCCGGTTTCGCAGATTACAGCTCTCAATTACAGAAATCAGGCCTATCTTATGAACCCAGATTCCTTGGAGGGCCGTCGTCAGTTGATGGTAGTTATGGTCTGACCCGGAACTTTCTCGCTTTTTTGAAAGAGAGTATCTGCTAAAAAGATCAAAAGCACCAGATCGCGCGTCAGAGTACGATCCTACAATCTGCTGCCTTGAGTTAGTGGTCACGAGCACGCACGTCAAGCCCTTTGCGCGTCAAGGATAGGACGCAGAGGGTGGGAGATTGACTACTTGTCCAGCTCCTAATTTTCTACAACTGTCTCCTCCCCTCCTGCTACCTTGATCAAACGCTTGAGCGGCGAAACTCGTCCATTGTCCTTGCTCTGCCTCCCCGCTCCTTACCCGCGCTTAGCCTCTTGATACCCAGTTAACCCTTTGCGCTTTCTGATCTTAATATTGTCAGCGCATCGCTTCGCGATCAGTGGGGGCGACAAATGCTCAGGTTTGCAGTTATACATTCATTCCCTGCAGCAGCACCGGACTGACCAACATACACTAAACCGTACGACCATTCTCCGACTGATACAGCACGTATCAACTTGCAGTTTCCGTGTTATGGGTCTTGTGGGGAAATCGTTAGAAGACCTTCGAAAGAATGTGGTTTGCCGAAACTTTTCGAAGTCAACAGGCATGCAAGCTGCGCTTCAAACCCTCGTCTCTATAGGCGATCTGCACGATATCGGATATCTGCACAGGTACATGGAAACTTGCCTTATAATGAGGCGTCACCCATCGCCTTTCCTCCAGAACTAGATGCGCGCCGAGTGCAGATCACACACTAAAAGTGACGACAGCTCCCAAGTAAATCTGGTTACTAGTGGTTCATAGTGACAGCTGGTAGCTCGCAAATAGCGTACGTTATTAGTGATAACAGCAGAATAGTTTGCAACTGCGAAGCGCTAATAATTCATGGCTGGAAAACGCATTTTGTGGAAAGCCGTCGTCAACTTGTGGTGTGTGGTCTGCACTCCACGCGCATCTTTTTCTAAAAGGCAGAGAGAAGATTGCATCCTTTCAGAGATATTAAACCGCAAAACTTCGCTAATAGGACTAGGTGAAAATGAGAAAATGATTTACATGCTCGATTTTGGAATAGCTAGAAAGTTCACGGTGGGCAACACCAAGCAAGTGAAGTAAGTACGGGAAATTCTTGAAAATCCTCTTTCTGCATACATGGAGACATGGAAAGGTACATTTTAGAGTTCCACGGCTTCAAGTGAAATTTTTGGGGACGCTCCGGTTCGCGTCACGCGCTTGTCACAATGGTATTGAGCAGGGCCGAAAAGACGATCTCGGAGACTTGGATATTCATGGTGAGTTCAATCAATTCATATCTGCTTCATTTGTTACTGTCACTGTTCTGATTATTTTGAGCGACCAAATCTGAGCTGCTTGGGATTAAAGCCACGGGGCGGGATTAGGTAGTAAGGGGTGGTCCCTCCTAGAGAAAGAGGGATCCCTAAGAACAGGACGCGACTCTGCTGTGACTCAAAAGTGCGCGACAAGGGCACTAAGGCATTGTCTTGTACGCTGCCGGCGCTGCCGCTCTATCCTCGCAGCATACGTGGCGTCTGCGCCCTCTCGCGTACGACGTGCTCTCTCGCGTTTTCCCTCTCCTCGCAGCGCTGTGTCTCTCCGTCATACCACGGCCGACTTCACAAGGGAAATTTCAGTGTTTTCGATGGCGTGTTTATTTACGCTCCCCTTACGTTACGTTTTCTTGTTTAATTTCCGATAAAAATAAGACACCAATTCGATCCCAACCCGTGCCTTTAGATTCCCAAAGAGATGGTTTAGAATCTCCAGTTCATGCAATTGTGTGCCCGTTTATTGGCAAAGCGGCACTGAGCGCTCAAGTACTGCCAAATACCCGCGTGTCAAGTCCATTTTCATCGGTAAACTCGACATTGTTCGTAATACGCTCAATAACTCACCATGGCCCTCCATGTCGCTTAAAGGAATCTTCCACGGACCATGGACCAGTGGGCGGGACCGGAAGTTTTTGTGACGAAATGCATGGTAGGTACGGATCCACGTGTCGAACGCACGAACGTGAA